GAGGCTGTGGTGTAGTGGTTGGGTGTGCTGGGATGAAGGTTGGACTGGATGATCTTCAGAGGTCCCTTCCAACCCCTGACATTCTGTGATTCTGTTATAATCTCAATCCCCATGTTTTCTCACGCATTCGCTGTGCCGTACCCAGGAGGATTTCAGGAGGTGGCGATGGCTGAAAGGGGAGCATCCCCAGCAGCTGTACACATCTGTGCGGCAGAAAAGGGCTTGTCACCACGTGTACAGCTGCTGTTGTGTCGCCCACGCGGCGGAGTTGTTCTGTTTTTGCGAGTGGAGGAGCAGGAGCTGAGGTGGGATGTGCCGGGAGCGAGGACAGGCAGGCTGGGAGCCCGCTGGTGCTCTCGAGGTAGCTGGAGCCATCGCTCTGGCTGGATGCTCTCTGAATTTAAACTTCAGGGGTTGTCATCATTCTTTGGTAACAGCTTGCGCTTGCGTAAATTTTGGGGAGAAAGAGTAGGGAAAAGTCTGTCTGGGCATAAACATGTACCCAGACACGTACCACGTGTGGTCACAGGGAGGAGAAAAAAAAAATCACAAACCAAACCAACAGAACAGTTGTGAGGTAGAAGAGGCTGTCCAGAAACATGTTCTCCGAGACTCGGTAGCCCAGTTTCCATTCAATAGATTTTTTTTTAGAAGAGGGAGATGAATGTTATTAATGCAGATTAAGCAGTTTGGCTTTTTGCTGGTTTAATTTAATTTATGAACCTTCAATCTCTTTGCAACCGGAGTATCTTTCTTCATTTGATGTTTCTATTTCACGCTAGCTTCTCCCTTTCTGCTAAAATTGCTCCTCTCTTCCTTCTACACATCCTCTTGTGTGCTGGTTACTGCTAACCCAGAAGAGAATTGTTATTCAGCACACTCTTAAAAAAAACAAAGCAACATGTGACTGTCTGTGTTAAATATACTGCAAGCAGCAAACACGTGATCTAGTCGTTGCCACATATCCTCCATTGCTTAACAGGAACACCTGAAAATGCTTGCTGAGGAAAGGCTGAACAAAACACAGTTGTTGGGCTCTTGGGCCTGAAATATTTTCAATAAACAAACTTAGGCAGAGAAAGCCCTCGAGATCGTTTTATTTAGGTGCCACCTATGTGAAACAGTAGCAGCCAAACAAATCCCAAAATAACAGATCTTCAGGCGCAGAAGGAGATGCGATGTACCCACCAGCTCCTGCTCGGTTCTGCGAGACTTCCCGGCTCCGAACAGAAGCGCCTCCGCCCTGGCGTTCCGTCGTGTTTGTGAGCCGAGCTGGCAGTGCCAGCGCTGCTGCGTGTCACGCTGTAATGTCACACGGGGGGGAGCAGCCGGCTCGTATTTTACATGCCTTTTACGCAAAAGCTCTCGGTTTATTCTGGTTCTGTTTTCAATTCCGCCGAGCAGGTTCCTGGGTGGAGCTCCACTTCAGCAGCAACGGGAATGGCAGCGGCAGCACGGTCACTCCCACGGGCCAGGAACAGGTCCCTGCCTCCGTTTCCATCCACAACGGTGACATGGAGAAGATACTCCTTGATGCTCAACACGAATCTGGAAGGAGCAGCTCAAGAGAAAGTTCACATTGTGACAGGTAAACCCAAGGCTGCGTTGTGAGGAAAGCAGAGGTCGCTGTTACCCGGAGCTGTTTTTCTGCACAGGAGGCAAAGACAAATAGAAAAATGCTTACGTAGGTGTGTGGCAGAGAGGCAGAGATAGGAGCTTCTCACATTTCAAAGACTGGTATTTAAATGCCAAAGCAACTTGTGCTTTGTTGGGAGGCACGTCAGCCAATGGTTCTTAGGCAATTGCCCTAAATGTAGTTTACAAAACATAACAGATTTCTAGGAGTATAACACGTACCAGCTTAGGTCTAGTGCAAATTCTCGTTCAGTGTTACTAATTTTTTGGTTTTGATGGACAGCAAAGTCTGCAGCCTAAGGTTTATTTTAAAATAAATAAATAAAATGGAGCTACAGGACTTGAAATAGCCAGTGGGGCGCAGAACTTCTGAGTCTTACCTGGGTAGTTTGAATTCAACCCCCCATTTGCCGCCCGTTATTATTTAGTACCGGGGGCCAGATCGCACGGCCTCACAGGCATGTGTTTGCACCGCTCCAGAGCAGCCCTGTCGAGAAGGCTTCTTGGCAGATTGTTAGAAAAATCAAAGCCTGATTGGGTACAATGGCTGGATTATGTCACCTGCTGCCAGATTAATCCCTTCAGTTATGGTCAGGGCACTGGAGCCAAAAGGGGAGAACCGTGTGTGTGAGCTTCCCTGACCAGCTTTTAGTGCATGCCATGAACAACGTCACCAGAAAAATGAATGGGTTCTTTCTTGCTTATGCTTCTCTCTTTATCAAGCCCTCCCCGTTCCCAGACACCTCAGGACAGTCACAGAGCTTCGGAAGTAGAGAGCCACAGCAGTGGAGAAAAGAACAGCTTTCAGGTAAAAATCGCGTCTTGCTTTGGGATTTCTCAGCGATAGGGAGTGAGAGGTGAAGCTGCTAATGTAGAGATATAAATAACATGTAACTTAGAATAATCTTTGCAGAATCAGGCTTTGTGTCTTTGTATTTGACTTGCATGGATTTTTATTTTATTTATGTTTTAAAATCTGTAACCTGAGATGTTTCAGGATTGATGTATCCTAATCTATGGAGTTAAATGCAGTTGGTGGCCGGTCACGAGTGGAGTCCCCCAG